TTAAAACAGAAGTCACACAAACCAATGTGTGTTTTTAGTTGTCTAGGGTGAATTACTTCTTAATACAGCCCTAAGAATAATCAGATAGGATATTATTGAATGGCTGATGGTAAGGTAACTGAGCAACTGAGCAGTCCTACCTGCATTATTGATTAGCATGTCCAGTCTAGGTTCAGACTTCAGAAAAGTCTCTGCAAAAGTCCGAACAGACTTCAGACTCCCCAGATCCAGCTGCATGAATACCACCTGGTTACTGCCACTCTCCTGCAACAGATATGGAAGGCAGATCAGTCAACAATGACCCAAACAACTGCATTTACCCCTGTAAAGTCTGAAACAGGATGATTTTTAATGAAGCAGAAAATAGTCTTAATGGCTAAAAGTTACATCCTTCTACTTTTCTTGTGCAAGAATAGCATATGCTATATAATAGATGTAATGCAAGAAAAGCTTAACATCAACTTCTCACCCTTTTGATCTCCTCAAGAGCAGCCTCTCCTCTTTGTTTACAGCGGCAGGCCAGAATCACTCGAGCTCCTCTCCGAGCGAGATCTATGGCTGTAGTCTTCCCTATGCCGGTGTTGCTGCCTACAGATCACAAACAGCTGTCACAAACTGAAATGAGATACCAGTCTTAAAGAGTAACTTGACATACCAGTGACAATCACAGTTTTTCCATGAAGTTTTGCTTGGCTTGTACATCTCTCTCCCTTCACCACAATGTGATGGTAAATATAGGCAACTCCTATGACAACACCAACGACTAGGAGAACAACAGACATGGTTCCTGCCTCTGAGCCTCTCAGCAATCTGAGGTCTTTCAGCTTTTCCACTCTGTCTCATTCCGTCTAGGTAACACCCACAACCTGTGTGGGTGTGACTTCATGACTCCCATTGTTATTAAACTGCACCACCTGCAGGGGGGAAAAAAAGAAACCCTAAAGGCTTTATGAGGGATCAACACCACCCACATTGAGCTCAAAATGTAGGGATTCTGCTGGTGTCATGGGAAATAAATTGTAAAAAGGTCTAACTCACTATTTGTAAAAATACAGTTTTAGGGGAGATTTAAAGTGGGAAGAAGTGAGATAAATTAGCATGGCAGTTTTTTCAAGTTAGATTTACATTATTTCATCCACCCTACTCCAAATGAATATATCAGCCATATGGAATGGTGTTCTTTCCAATTAAAATCAAAATTTCAATTTTATCCAGATGCAGATATCCAGAGATCAGCTTCAGCATTCAGCCTAGAATTATAGCAAATTATATATGAAATTTAATCTTTATAAATTCAAATTCAATAAAAAAAACTAATAATAAAAGAAGAAGCTCACAAAATGACAATTTTACATATCTAGAATTAAATATATAAAAAATGTAAATTAATGTAAAAATGTTCAGTAAACGCATAAATAAAAAATCCCTTGTTTTTACTTTGATGGTTAATCTGTTTCAGGAAAGGGAAAATGTTTCTGATGGGAAAATATTGATGTCAGTACCAATCTAAAAGGGAAATTTTGTAAGTTTTACAAAAAAATGTCTTTAAAATAGCCTTTTTTATTTGACCCTTTACTACTAAAACAATTATTTGATGAGCAGAGCAGTGGATGGGAATGGGGTGCGGGGAATGGCGGTCTAGTGGTCAGGGCACAGATCTTGGAATCCTGAGGTTCTGAGTTTAAGCCCCACTCCCACAGACTGCCACTCTGAGTCCCTGGGCAAAGACACTTAACCCCCAAAATGCTTTCCCCCACGGTGGCAGCCCACTGCTCCGCAAGGGGATGGGTTAAATGCAGAGATAAATTTCTCCAATGTGAGATCAGTAAAGTTCAATTATTATTATTATTATTATTATTATTATTATTGACTGACATCTCAGTAGATCCGCGTCGATGCATCTATAAGCCTGTAGCCTATTTTTCCTGAACGTGCTTCACGTTCGGTCTGAAGATCCTGCTCTGTTTCTCCGGATGTGACGTTAAGCCCGTCCATGTTGAATGGGTCCTACCTAGCAAACAACTGAAGTGAAGTGCTCCAGTTCTGTGTTTTGGCCACAGTACTATTACAAAACTCCATAATGCCTCTTGAAGTCATTTTATCGCTGGCTATACTGCCATCTGTTTCACTATCTGTTTTTTTATAACTCCAGTGATGCTGCCTACTGCTCCCTATGAGACTTTCACAGCTTTATTTCTCATGTAAAATAACAGAAACCAATGCTCTATGGTTGTATTTCAAAACTAGACATTTTATTTCAGATCAGTGTTTAGAATATTATTGTTTCTGCAAAATTAAAACAAATATTAAAAAATGTATATTTAGTTTCTTAATAATAACGCCCAAATGCAAATATAGGCCTCATTTATAAATTAAAAAGATTCATATTTACAAAATTAAAGACATTACATTACTGAAGTCTAGGAATACTTCATGTGTGGCAAGGGTGTGACCATTACAAGAAACTTGCATGTGGTATTTCACGTTTTTAGTGTGATACCACCGGAGACTTGGTATCTAACGGAACCAGTTTGAACTACGCTACGGCCTGACTCCAATTTCCTTTCAAATTCCCCTCATCTAAATAACAACAAGGGCTCTTGGAATTCACAAAATGTAACACTGGTCAAAATTGAGTTTTTTTCCGCTTTCTTTAACAATCACTTGGTTAAATTTGGACCACTGTAAAGCAAAAAATATATAAAGGTAAAAATTCTGTGAATGTATACTGACTGTATTACTGCTCCAACTTTAAAAAGTAAAAATAGTCAAATGTTTGTTTTTGCAGCTTTTTTCATCTTTAGACACTGTCTACTTTTTAGGTTAAGCTTAAAACTTTCCTTTTTGATAAAGCTTACAGTTAGAGCTCAGGTTATCCAGTGCTATCTCTATAGTTATGCTGCTATAGGCTAAGACTACTGGAGGACATAGGGACCCTCATTTCATCATTTTGCTTCATTCTATCTCTATACCCCCACTCTACAAAATATATTAGTTCAATCTCTAACGTT